AGCATATTTTACAGTCATTGAATTCCAAAAAATTAACAGAATTGTAGAGTCAAGTATTTTCTTTTTTCCTGATCTATGTCTCATGCTAGTCATTTTTGTAGAATGACCTAACTATTCCAGATTTGCAAAATGCATAATTGCATAAATTTTAAATTTCTGTTGCTTTTATCATGTGCTTAATTCCTTAAAACAAAAACATTGAAAATGTTTTAAACCTTTACTTGTACTGATTGATCTAATCTGCTCTCTTTCCAATTCTAAAAATGTTTTTAAAATTGTATGGTTGTATTTTGTTTTGCTTTGATGTGTTCATTACAAAATTTTGCATGTTTATTTTCAGTCCCTTTTCTAACAATCCATACCATAGGATTTGGGTTTTTTTTATATTTTTGTCTACAGTTGAGCTCATTGTTATTAACCTATTCCTGGATTTCTTTTCTGGGTGGTAGGCATTAACATTTTCTTATTTTGCTTTTGATTCCAATATCCTTCCGTGCCTTAATTTGCCCTCCATTATAATATTCTAAGGACCAGCCCCACTTTTTTTAAGGGGAAAGAAGTAAGAATCAGGCCTTCCAGATTTCACATGGTCAATAATTGTCTCTTTGTCTTCATAATCAGGGATTCATCCAGGAAACATCTTTATAATATACCTAGTTTCCTTCTCTGGCATGCTTTAAGGTGGCTATTTATATATATATTTAAGATGTAATATTCTGTAAATCAGAGATCTACGTTCTGGCTTCTACACAGTACTGTATAGTAATCTTGGATGACTTTTATACTCAGTGATTGTGGATTGTGGTTTGGTGTAAGTAAAGCTTTGGATTTTCACAGGTCTCTTTTACTTTAAACAACATAAAGTTTCATGCTCCTTTGTAAAGCACAATACAAATTTCCATAGGGAACCAGGACTAAAGGAGTAAGTCACACTCAATTCAGCAGGCTGCTGAAATAAACAGGGATAATGCATGTTACATCCCTTCTCAGAACTGTTGTTAGGAGGAAAGGAAACATCTGCTTGCATTAATTGTTCTTTTACTGGTTTCATTGTCTTCCTAGTGTCATTCATTCAATGGTGGGATTTCATCATTGTGCAACTATTATAAACTATTCAATAAATATAAAGAGATTTCTCTTGGTCTTTAATACCGCTACTTTTGTGCTTTAGAAAGTGAAAACATTGTTTCAGAATAGTAAAAAAATGTGCAATCAGAGCCGTGTGTGTGTGTGTGTGTGTGTGCGGATGTGTACACATTGGTGTACTGCGTATACGTGTATATACCTTTGCATCATTAAGTGAACAGACAGCTGCAAATAAATCAAAGACAGCTAAAATCAGAGTATTAGAATTCATATGAAAAGAGAAGATATGAACCTAAAGTTTATTTGTATTTTTTCTTCCACAAAGAACAGATTATGGAAACAGTAACTACAATGGAAATACAATATATAATTCCAGTCTGTTTATAAGATCTGGTTGTTGTAGGCCTAATGATTCCAGATGCAATTAGCATTATGGTTTGTTGCTTTGTTAATCAGATGTTTAGATGGATTTGACATTATTAGCAACCTAACAAGTCCTTCCCAAGAACCTGGGATAGACAAATGTTGTTGGATGTATTATCCAGGGATGTATGATGGTCCAAATAAACCTGCCTTTTGCGATTGACTTGTGATGATTATGTCAATGCCAGTAATGTTCAAGTGCTATTCCAGATGTTTTGGGATGACACTCAAGGCACCTATTACTATTGCTACTGTCTTTGCTTTCTTTTGCCACAGTCATTCTACTTCTATTTGCAGGTCTTTGTATTTTTGTGATCCCTCCCCCCTAGTTATTTCTCTTCTATTCTGCTATCTCCAGGTAGTGCCACATTCACTGTCTAGACTTTTCTGTCTTTCTTATCATTAAGTCTGGAGTACTGTATTATGTAGCAGGTGCTTGTCTGTTTGAATTCTAAAGTCCCAGTCCTACTTTAGCTTCTTCATTTTCTATTACTTTATTTTGTTGTCCCACCATTCTTGCTTGCAGGCAAATGGCATTTCTTATAGCTCTTCCAATGCACCATTGTTATTACTTTGTCATGCCTTCTGTTTGTAGCCAGTCTGTGTAATCTTGCAGCAACTAACTGATCTTGCAGCAGCTAACTAGGTGGTCCACTGTTTCTTCAGCTTATTTGCAGAGGCGGCATTTGTTGTCCGTTGCTGTCTTCTCAATGCTGTCTTTGTGCACATTTGTTTTTAATGCTTGGCCTTGTGCAGCCAGAATTAGTCCTCTGTTTCTTCAGCTTCCCTGTTCTTAGCCACTGCTGGGTCTTGTAATCTGATTTGCCTGCTACTTTTTAATGATACTAGTCATGTCTCTTTTTTCTATTCTTCACTAGGTCTAAATAATATTATTATTAGAATTTATATTGTGCTTTAGTGTACTATTCTGCACTGTCTGCAATGCTGTTCCTCTTATTCACAGTTTAGAATCCCTTGGGTTAAAGCAGTTTATACATTTCATAAATAAACATCTCCATGCTTAATGTGTAGGCTTCAGAAGTTATCGTGCCTCGGTCCATGGTTTTAGCTTTTTATGTAGAAGGAAAGTTCTGAATAGATTTTAGTAATGTTGATTCTGAATGTATTGCTGCTGCTATAAAAATTGGATAAAGATATTCTTTTATTTAGCAGTTCTGAGTGTGTATTATATGACCAATTAAAGCAAGTATAATACCTGATTAAGCTGAAAAATTGTTCTTAAAATATATTTTAGTCTGTTTTATAGTCCATGTAAAACTTCCATGTAAAGTCCATATTGGGAAGAATTTTATTTGATTAGTTTATTATATTAATAATTCTTACTAAAGCAAACAAATGCATGAGTCATGATGCCTTGGGTTTAACATGGTAGTTCAGAAGTCCAGGCTCTCCTAACTATGGAATGTTGTGTATTTGTACAAGTATAACTGTATTATGATTGTTTGCTGATAAAAATAGATGACAGTATTGTGAAGTGAAGACAATGACACATCTGAGTCTTGGAAGGCATGCTGAGAGTTGACTGTGTATGAATATGAAGTACACTGGGTGGGGTTTCTTTTGTGTTGAATCTTGGCAATGAAACTGTAGTCTAAAATAAGGCAAAGTACCAGGTCTTGTAAACTGCACAATGTACATTCAGCAAGGATTGTAAAAAAGCAATACTTCCTCTCCAGGTTCTAATGGACATAATCAGAAGAGTTTAGAATTAAAAATGTCTCTCTGAGTATTAATCGAGCCACAGAAAAAAATGTAATTTATCACAAGCTGTTTTTCTCTCTCATGTAAAGCAAAAACAGGAGAAACATTTAATTTTGTTCCTTGTCAGTCCTATAACCTTGAATGAAATGCCTTTTGTCCTTTATAGAGTTACTGCTAACAGGTGGAACAAATCTGGATAACACTAGGGAACCCCAGGGCTGCATGCTTACATTAACCTAAACAACCTTCCCTAATCTAAGTATCCTTTTAAAGTATAGATTTCAGATTCCAATACTGGCTACTCTCGTTCAAGAACTCTGCATCCATACAGTACATATAAACCATGCCCAAATTTTTAACTGCTGGAATGATTTCATATTGTGAATTCCACCCATGTTTAACTGAAACCTTTTTTTTTTCTGGTATCATCCAGAGCCAGGACTGCAGAACCAGACACATTTTGGCTTAAATAGTATGATTTCACCTCATTAAGTAATCCCCTTTTATTGCAAAATGAAGTGTTGATGTACACTGATTCATAATTTGATGCTTGAATGGATGCCCAAATGATGACAGCACCTAAATTACCTATCTGATCTCACACAGGTGGGAATATACTAAGACATTTCAAAAGAATAAGCTAGATTGTGAAATAGAAAACCATTCTGGAAGAAGGCAATGGAATTCTAATGCCTGTTGGGTATCTCCATGGAGTAACCAGAACATTTATCTTATAAAACTTTTTATTTTACTTAGTTGGGCTGATAAACTGGCTTTATTGCAAAACATAGCGAAAACTTTGCGTTTGGAATTAACCTTGTATTATAATACCACATACATATGTGTTTCCTTCAAAGTTAGATTTTTTGATAATGAATACCTATAGAGCAAAAGTTTATCAAATAATAGACACTGAACTGTTTGTTCTCAGCATATAAATGTCACCCATCTGGGCAATCTCTTCTGGCCAAATCAAGTAATATAACTGCTTGCACTTTTAGCTCTAATAAGTGGAGTGGAGAACTCTAGAAGACATGGGAATGTGTTGTAATATGCTTGTTCTTACTTACTGTATGACTGATAGAAGCAGGTTTAAATATGTTCCTTGGGGGCTCCCATTTATGCTGTAAAGCTATGACTTACAGGGACTGCCTTGTGCTAAAATATACCTAGAATTACAGAGGCACCACGGATATTTTGGGAGCACATAAGGTTGTTTCAGTTTAGTTGATAGCTGTGAAGATCACTGCATTCTCTAGATGCACACTATTCGGTTCCACAAACTCATTTCTTGCTGCCTGATAAAATTCAATTGCCATGGTTCAACATTCAAGAAACAGTAGAACTAGTTTTCTGTAGAAAAGATTGCTTTCCTTTGCCAAAACAGTACCGATATTTGGCTGGTTTTGGACACAGCCCATTTCACTTTATTAAAAATGTTTCTTCAATTTGGGCATAATAGGAGCTAAATGTCTCTGCCAATTTGAAAATAGTGGCTCGGGTGTCGGATGAGGATGAAGGCTCATTCTCCGAGCTTGTGTGTTGGTTTCCAAACGTTTCGTTACCAGGCTAGATAACATCTTCAGCTGAGTTCAGGAGACTCTGCTGAAGATGTTACCTAGCCTGATAATGAAACGTTCAGAAACCAACCCTCAAGCTCGGAGAACAAACACTTCACCCTCAGCAATTAATTTGTGAACGTTGTAACATGCATGCAGCCACCATATCTTTTTTCCAGCTAACTTTCTGTTGTTCCTTTTGCATTGCAGAGTAAAGAAGTTGGACAGCAACTCCAAGAAGACCTGATGAAAGTCCTGAATGAGCTCTACACGGTAAATCCATTTGCCCCCCCCCCTTTATAGAAAGTAGCAACATATTAAAAAGTTTGACTTTCCTCTGTGTGTTACAAAAATGGCAATAAAGCACCAGAAAGTATTTTCTTCTATTGTTTCATTTTAATTCTCTGGTTTCATCCCTGTTGCCTTTGCTGCTGGTGTGGGATTACTTTCTACATTGAGTGAACATTGGTGAGTGTTTAGTTAAATCATTGGGCTCTTCGTTGAAAGATAGTATCAGCTTTGAGGTCAGTTTTGGCTGCAAATGGACCAAACACAATGGTTTCTTTCATCACAAATGTAGGAATGCATGAAGCACAAGCTTTTGCCCTGCAATACACATGCAATAATTATTTGCATTAGATGCTTGTATAACTTTTTTTTTAATTTGGCTTTTTAGAATCTGACTGGCACAAAAGGAGGCATGTGCTCATAAAAATTCTGGGCATCTCTTCTTTCATGCTTGAATTGGAAATGTTTACTATTTATTAAACCTGTTTCAGGTTTGTTAAACTTCGCAACTTAGAGCAAATTACTTCTATTTTGAAATTTAGGCTCTTCGAATGTTTTCTTTGAGGCATTTCCCCAAACAGCAGACAGTTTCTGGATTTTGTTTGGTCAGCTAGGGTGATTGCATTGGCAAATACTTTTCTCCACACCCAGTTGCCACATGAAAAGATGTTTCACAGAAACTCTTGAGGCGAAAGCAATGAGACCCTGCCATGAAGTAGAACTAGTAATCATGATGGTCTAGATACAGGCTGATTTTGCAATTTTGTCTAATTTATATGAATCAGCAAATCACACAGGGATAAAGGTTATATCTTATTATAGGCAAATGTTGGGAACTGCCTTTTGGCAGCTGCAAAGCCTAAAACCTTTATATGGTGTTTTTTATTATTATTATTAAACTGAATTCCAGCTGCAGATGTTCAACATTTTGAACATACTGCTGGTATGGTGAGATTCTAGAAGTGCTCTAAAAATGAATAGAGGGTGTGCCTTGTTTGTGCCTTTTAACCTTGCTTTTTAGAAAAAAGGAATAGTTAACCCTAATAAAGCCACTAGAGCAGGGGTGTCAAACTCGCAACATCACGTGATGTGTCGCGACATATCACAACTTTTTTTCCATTGCCAGCAATGGGGTGGGCACGGTTTCACCATGATGCATCCGGCCCGCAGGCCGGCAGTTTGACACCCCTGGACTAGAGAATTCCTATTGGTAGGATTTTATACTGGTTTGTAACAAATTAATTGAAGGAATATAATTTCTAGGGTCCAATGTAGTGTGACTGCTAGGAATTTTAAGTATTGATTTGTTTTTCCCTTTATGAATGTACATAGATACATACATATTACCTGGCAATTTTGACTGTGAGATACTTTTACATGAGAATGAGTAATACTAATGAACTTTTGGGGAAAAGCTATGCAAGTTATTGAAAATAATGGTAATTTGTACTTTCTGTTAATATAGCATTATAATAAAGTAGAATTAATTCACTATTAGTTCATGTTTCCTGTCTGGTTTACCTGGGAAGACTGACATCAGTCTTACAAGTCTGAAAGTACAAACTTCCCACTATCACCTTTAATTGCTTGATCCATTAGGGCAGGTCCTTCCTAAGTTTCTTTCTCTGACCACTAAGCCCCTGGGGCTTATGCCTCTCTTGCCTGATTGTTTCCTAGGCAGCATCTCTCCACCTCTTCCCATAAAGTCATCCACACATTTTATTACAAATGATCTTTAAAAAGAAATCTAGATTTGTACTGTGAAAGAATAATAACCCTTGACCAAATAGAAAGCTTTACTTAGTTGGTGCCTTTTGAGAATAGGAAGATTAATTCCAAAACGAGTTGAAACAATGAAGAAGGTATGGCACAGATTTATTAATCTGGATAATTCTTTCTTTATTGATTGATTAGCTATGTATGCTCACCTACCTTACGCAGCATAACTCTGATCAGCAACATACAGGTAGTCCTTGCTTAATGACCATTCATTCATTTCACACAATCAAATTGCTGTTGCATTCCTATTGCAAAACTACATGTGCTGGGCTCAACTCTCATTTTTGTGTTGTGCCTGCAAGAAGGGCTGAGTATTAACCACCTTCTGGAAGGCAGTAACATTTGCAGTATCCTTATTTATCTATTTAAATTTTAACAGCAAATTAAATATCCTAGCATAGAATTCATATTTCTATGAATAGAATTCCTAGAATTCATATTCTGCAATTAATGTAGAAACTACATTAATTTGCTTTTACTAATTTATCTTGAGTTCCATCAGTTTCTTTCTTAAGCAGTTTCTCTAAGTCAGCAGTCTATTGCTAGATTATACCTCACAGCATCAATTAGCAATGATTATGCTGATTTGTGTTGGGAATTAAGGTTCAGTAAGATCTACATTGCTCATCCTTGTGGATGACAACAAGAAAACATGGAATAGGCAGAATGTATATCTCATTCTACCAATGAATCTCTGGCTTATTTATAGGAGATGAGCAAGGATTTCTGACTATCACTTTTAATCTGCCAGAAAAGCAAAATGAGATTCACCCATCCACACAAGCATGTCCTAAATCAGATCTGAGCAACTTTTCAAGGACAAAGACTATTTTCTGGATTTTTAGGAGTTGGGGATGACACATTGAACAGATAGCTTCCCCCCCCTAATTAAGAAGCATATTAAACTATGTTGCATAAGCAGTTTTGTTTGTTTTTTTAGCCTTAGTTGGCAAGCAAACTAATTGTACTGCATTCCTCCATGATTGTCAAACCTTGTTTGATTAGCAATTTTAAACAGCCAAGGAATATTTTTTTCCTGTATTGAAGAGAGCAAAAAACAAATCTAAGCCTGCATATTTTAGGATCATGATGTGAATTTGATTTATGTGTGTCCTGCTCTATTTCTAAGTCTACCTATTTTCTAAATTAAGAGTTAAGGAAGAGATTACAGAGTTCTGTGTCAATTTTCTCTCAGTCAAGTTAGCAGTTGGCTTTTGTCTATGTTGTAACATCTTGGATTGTCATCCCTTCAATTCCATTGAAGGCCATTTGTATTGAGTAGATTTTCTCCCATTCAGATTCCCAGTCTTCAGTTGATTTTTTTATTGATAAAAGTTTTTCAGAAATATAAAGAATTACATGTTTCCTCTTTCAGAGTTTTGCGTTATCACTCTCAATTATACATCAAAGACATCTATATTCAAAGCAGAAAAAAGACTGAAATCTGTTATTCTTATATATGGGAAGATTATACAAAGTAGTTTTTAATTCTTAAGAAGTTTCTTTACACTCAGGAGTCCATTAAGCTTTGTTAGGCAACCTCTTGTTGATTAAGACTGCGAGGGCAGTAATGATCTTAGTTTTTCTTGGTAGTTGAAGGCTGCATCTATTAAATAATCTGCATCTTCTTCGCTTCTGGCTTAACTTCTTTCTGACACCAAAGATATAATCTAATTCAGAAAATCCTTGGTAACATTCCACTGCATTGATGTTTATGCCTGCTACCTCAAGAGTGGAAATAACATCATTTAAATGTTGTGTGTATTCTTCCCAGAAACTGTTGAAATAATAATGTTGTTCAGATTTATTTCAGATACTTTTTCCCCAGTCTGGAAAAATTTTTGCCCATGAGTCAGGTCATTGGTGCTCCATTTCAGATGAAAAACATTCTTAAAAAATTGGGACAGTCCTTGAACTATGATAAAGCTTGGTTTCTCTTTGAAGATTTCCAAGAAATGCATTTGCTAATAATCCTTACTTTAGACTAAAGTAGATAAGTATTTTGCCTTACTTAACTGTTCTAGTTGGTCATTTTTTCTTATTATAAAGTACCAATCAAACTTGGTTAAAATATCTTAGGTCTGCACAAAAATTTACTTTTCTATTTGACTTAGGAGAAATCACTATAACTATATTCACTGAATTCATAGTATGAAAGTTCAACAAAACTTAATTCTAGCATGTTTTGCATTTCTTTCTTCAGTGTATCTCTAACTCTCTAGAACAGTGGTCCCCAACCTTTTGGACACCAGGGACCGGTTCCGTGGAGAGAGGTTTTTCCACGAATTGGAGGTAGCGTGGTTTCACATGCTCCCTGCATCTCGTGGATGGGGCTTCTCTTGTTTGCGTGGCCTGGTTTCTGGCATGTTGCGGACCAGTCCCAGTCCACGAACTGGGGTTTGGGGACCCCTGTTCTAGAATAGATGTTTCTGCTTTATTGTGTTTGCATCTCTGGTAGCATTTTTGTGTTGTACTAATGTATCAGCGCCTGGGTTGATTGTAAATACTTACTTGACATATTCTAACAGTGGTTCTAAGTTTGCTTTTTGTTACAAAGATAAGATATGTGTCTCTTCATACTTTCTGTGCATCTGGCAAATAGCTATCAATTTGTTTTGCTAGATCTTTTAATCTATACAGTATATTCCTAATGAAGCAACGTACTTTCTTAAAATTTTACGACTAGATGGTTTTTCCATTTCCAAGTCTACTTTGTGACTTATGTACTCCATTTTTGATCATCATAAGTGAGCTTTGCCACCTAGCTTAAACTTGCATTCTTGAGCAGGCAACAAAAAGCAACACTTTTTCTTCCACCTCTTGAGAGCCTTATATGATATCAGTCTTATTGTGCAGTTATTCCTGAAATATGCCACTGATTTTTTTTTGCCCTTTTGTGTGTGTGAGAGAGAACATAATCAGAATCTTTGGTCCTGGAAGTTCATTTGACCCAGGACTCCTCTTGGTTTTTTCCATGTAGCAAATCAAAAGGACTGAATCCCCTAAATGCCTATGGCACTTTTCTATAGGCAAATAATATATAGGGAAGTAAAGTCAATTTAGTGTAGTTGTTAAGGCAATAGGCTTGAAACCAGGAAACTGTTTAGTCACAAAACCAACTGAGTGATCTTGGGCCAGTCACTTTTTGTCAGCCCTAGAAAGGAGACAGTGGCAAGCCACTTATGAAAAACTTGCCAAAAAAGGACTTGTCCAGGCAGTCTCTGAAAATCAGACAATGACTGAACAGAAGAAGAAAAAATAGAAGGAAGTAGTCCATTCCAAATTGTTGGTATCATTTTTGTGCATTCTTGTTTAACATTTTTGAAGAGTCTCCTTCAGATAATCCTTCTATCTGAGTGTCATACTGAGAAGGTCTTACGTCCAGTATCTCCAAATCTGTGTACAAATTCTTAGCAGTTATTTTCTTAAAATACCAACAAAGTGAAGTTCCTCCATGAATCCTGGTTTTACATCAGACCTGAGCAACTTTTCGAGGACAAAGTCTGAAGTGGTATAGTATTGCAAAATAGGCAGGGCTGTGTCATGGTCAGAGGCAAGTTTTTCTGTTAAGGAGGCAATTGATCAAGTTCCTGTTTTCTAAACAGTGTTAAGTATAGGATAATCAAGAGTGGGTTTTTTTAAAAAAAAATTATGAGTTTTATTTTTTTTTATTCAGTTTGGCTACTCAAGACAAACTCCTTTGCTCATTCCTATAGGAAGGTGTGAGAGTTCTAATTAAAAGAGAGAGGGGGAGAAAGACAAGGCAGGACTGACAAAATAGATGCTCAACTAGCATCTTAATATAATCCCTTGATGGGAATAGCGTGTGGTATTCATAATACTTTGACTCCCGCACTGAATCCTTATGTAATTGCTTTGACCCTGGACCTTGATGTCAGTCTTGGCAGAAAGATATGGATCGACCATGTTGACACATCCTTAAATATATGAAACCATTAAAACTGGGACTTACATGATTTTGATGCCTTGTGCCAGATGTCTTTCACTAGAAGTAATGGGAATAGGGGTACATGGAAAGAATACTTCTTCCTGTTTAAGGCAATTCCAAATGTCACCTTTAATTCTGTTCATTGATAATAATTCAGAGTTACCATATAGATAAATTATGCTTCCTTTAATACTGAGTGGGTTAGCATTTTTAACTGTTACTTTTTCCTGTAACTAAGGAGTGATGATTTAATTGCTCCAGAAGGAGTAACGAAATGAGAGCATATATTCCACCTAACAAAAATTACGGTCAAGTTCAAATTGAGGTGAAAGAAGACTCAGGGGCTTGGTGCTTGCAAACTGGAACGATTTGAGGCCAGAATTGGCTTGCAGCAGGATTTTAAAATTGGAACATAGATCTCTTCTCTGTTTGAGCACACATTTACAAAGCAGTTATTATTAATATTTCATGAAGGTCTATGATGTAATTGGAAGAGTGCATACCATCTTTTCAAGTCAGTTTTTAAATTTTATTATGTAAGCTACCTTGATCAGAATCTGTGGGAAAGAGAGGATGTAACTGATTTTCAGTAAATAAATCTCTGTCATCCTGTCTGTCTGTCTGTCTGTCTGTCTGTCTGTCTGTCTGTCTGTCTATCTATCTATCTATCTATCTATCTATCTATCTTGTTTTAAACCTGTCTAGATGGTGTGTTAATTAACCTAATGAGATAAATTCTTAAACTTTTGATATTTGATCTTTGCCAAGTTCAAAAGGTTATCAGGAGGGCCAAAATGCAAAGAAGGACAGGAATCAAAATATGTGGTTCAACTATTAGAGCTCACTTATTTGTAACAAACGCCAGTGAGAAAGGGAAAAGTCAGTATTGATCCAAAACAATGGAGGGACTGTAGAGAAACAAAAAGAAAGGCTGATTGTTAGCAGAGTCAGCCTCTGCTGTCTATGTTGCCTTTTGTATTGCTGAGCAGGATTAGCACTGATAGGGCATGGACTGCCATGCGGGTCAGTTAAAAAGTGGTCTCTCTTCTAGTAATTGCTTTTTAAAGTAAAGATATCAACTTCCTGGGGGAAACAAAGGAATACTATTTAATGACCTTTTTCTCCTTGTCCTTATCCCCATATTGTCACATTCCAGTTGGAAATAGAATTATTCTTGTACTTCTTTCTTACCTGTTCATCTCTCTTTCCTATTTTCATCTGGCCTTTTATAGCCATGTGCTAATAGGGTGTTTCACTTCATGCAGCTCATTGGAGCTTTGTTGTATGGACTACAATAGAGATTTGCACTATGCATAATGACCCACATCTACCGATATTCAAACAAATATCAGAAACGTTCCTAAGAAATTTGGACATAATGTATTGATGGAACAGTAGGAAATACATGGCTGAAGGGACTGAAATTTACATTATGTTATACTTTAAAAGAGAATTTTATAAAGAGGTACAGGCTCCAGAAAAAATATTTAGAATGTATAACGGTATTTTCAATTTATGTTGGAAATGCGGAAAACATGAAGTGTCATTTTATTATGGCAAAAAAATTTGGGGTTCAAATAGAGTTAAAAATAAAGAATTGTAAAGATTAATATTCATTTGAAAGCAGAAATTTTCTTTTTATAACTAATGGATAAACAGTTAGAAAAGTATTATGGAAAGCTATTTTATATGTTATAATTGCTGGAAGATTATTTCATGCACAAAAATGGGAAGAATCTGAAATAACCACAATGGAGGAACAGCTGCTGAAGATGATGCAATTAGCAAAGATGTAAAGTTGACTTGTCTGACTAGAGAAAGAACAAAACCCATATTTATTAGTGACTAGAAACCCCTTATGGACTTTTTGCTAAAAAATGAAAAAATGGATTTGTGATTTATGGGTTTGATGATTTAAAAAGGTAGATTATGAAAAGAAGATTATACTGTAACCTTAGAAAGAGAGGGTAAAATATAAATGTACTTCTGTTTCCAGTATCAAAAGCTGCTTCTTTATAACTTTTATTTTCTTTCCTTTTCTTCTCTATTTCTTTGCACTTTTTCACTTATTACTTCAGGTTTTTTTTTCAAAATTGGTATTGTTATTTTTCTTTAAAACTTTTCTTTAATAAAAATTATATGTTAATAAGAAAAAAGAAAAATCCCAGCAAACCTTGACAAGCAGAGTTAGGATAAAGTAGTGGAGGCCCTGGTTTAGCCATCAGAATCACATGAGAGTTGTAAAATGTTCCATACCTTTGCTGATCCTTTTGAGTTCTATAGGTAATTCTTATGACCATTCTTTCAGCAACCATTCAAAGTTACAATGGTGCTGAACGAGTATTGGTTATGACTGATCTTTGAGAGTTCAGGCCATCCCATAACCCCCATGATCACATGACCATGATCTGGTGCTTAGCAACCAGTTTGCACTTAAGACCAGTTGCAGCACCCCATGATCAGATTCACTGGGATAAGTCTTCCCCATCCATATACCCTCCCTTAGCCCCTCTCTGCTCATACTGCACCAACTAATTGTGCCCCCTCCTGAGCTTCACCGTTCCTCCCTTGCGCACCTTCACTGACCCTTGCTGCACTTCTTACATCGGACCTGGATATCTCCGAGACCGCCTTCTGCCGCAGGTTGCCTCCCATCGGCCGGTACGCTCCCACAGAGTGGGTCTCCTCAGGGTGCCGTCAGCCAGACAGTGCCGGCTGGCGACCCCCAGGGGGAGGGCCTTCTCGGTGGGAGCTCCCACCCTCTGGAACGAACTACCCCCAGAGATCCGGGTGATCCCGGATNTGGCCTAGGGAATTTTAGTGGGGTTTTTAAGGGTATTTTAAAGGTTAATTTTAACGATTGGCCGCTTCAAATATTTTCTTTTAATTTGGTTTTAATGGATATTTATTGTATTGTGGTTTTACAAGGCTGTTAGCCGCCCTGAGTCCGGTGAGGAGAAGGGCGGGGTACAAATTAAATTATTATTATTATTATTATTATACCTTTCCTGACCCTAACCACACCTTCCTTGCTCCCTTTTTCACCCCTTGCATCTTCATTGCATCCTCATGGACCCACCTTAACCCTTGCTATGCCTCCCTCGTACTCTTGCACACTCTCCATGAGTCGTGCCACACCTCCTTTCCACTTTTCCCAAGCCTTGCCACACTTTCCTCACACCTTTGTGTACCCCCTCGTGCCTTCCCCCACCCTGCAGTAGCCATTTAACCTGCCTGCCAGCCTGCTTGTAAGTCACCTGGGACTTACAATGTCCTGCCAGCTTCCCCACTGACTTGATTGTGGGAACTGGCAAGAGGTTGCCTTGCCTAACAACAATGGGATTTGATTAAGCATGGCAATTGGGACTGCAGGGATTTCTGTTGCTAAGCAATGTGGTCACGCTTTACGTCTGCATCATTTAGCAGTGGAAATTCTGGTCCCGGTTGCCACCATAAGTTAGGGACTGCCTGTATAGTAGGTGCGTAGAATAGTTATAGGTATTTTTCTATTTGAATTTTAAGTTTACTCTGAAGGCATTGGTTGATTAATGTTCAGGTGTTTCCAAGTGGGATTTTTTTTAAAAAAAAGTAAGATGGTTTATAAGTGAGAATTGCCTTTGCAGGTAATGAAGACCTACCATATGTACAATGCTGACAGCATCAGTGCCCAAAGCAAGCTGAAAGAGGCAGAAAAGCAAGAAGAAAAACAGATTGGTAAGTCTGTGAAGCAGGAGGAAAAGCAAACTCCGCGCTCCCCTGATTCAGCCTCCAGTGTCAAGTTTGAAGAAAAGCATGTCCGACGGAGCTCAGTCAAAAAGATTGAGAAAATGAAAGAGAAGGTGAGTGCACAACAGGGTTAACTGCTAGGTAATTGCAAAGCTCTCTTTACCAAGTGCAGCTGCTGAATGTTTGCTGCGAATCTAATACACAATAGAATATCTATCAGGGCAGGGCGTTAAGGGAGAAGAGCTATTTAATGGGGAAATAGCAGAAATACTGACCTAATGGCTCAGGGATTATCCTGAGGTCTAGAAACTATATTTAGGTATGAGTATTCATGAGATGGAATGAGGAGGTACAGGAATCAAAAGTGCAAGGAGGTCGTTTTGGCACCGATCCATTTCTTCTTATCCCTAGTCAACTATGTAAATGTGTTCAAATTGAAACTAATTTGCATGGTACATAAAGATACTATGTATCAAACAGTTAGCAATTTGATATTTAAATCTTTTAACTTGCAGAGGTAATGTAACATAGTGCCATAGGCAGAGAGACTATTTAAAAAGATGGGGAAAAGGCTTAATATTTGCAGAAGACTACCTTGGATGTGTTGTTTTAAGAAGTAATAATCTTAATTGGAAATGTTCATTGTACTGAGATACAGAAATACAAGCACACTTTTCATAGGATTGTGCATGAAACAAGTAAAGTAAATAAGCACAGCCAATGGATTTTTCCCCTCTTTTGTTCCTCAATACAGTATACAGATAGTCCTCGAGTTATGACCATTCATTCAGTGACTGACCATTGGTTTTCAAAGATAGAATGACACTGAACAAAGGAACTTACAACTGGTCCTTAGTTCCAGCCTTTGTAGCACCCCTACAGTTACATGAACAACACTCGAACACTTGAAAACCAACTTACACTTACTATATGACCAATTCCAGTGTTCCATGGTCACTTCATTGCCATTTGCAACCTTCCCTGTTGACTTACCAAGAGCAAAGTCAATGGGGAAACCTGCAGGGAAGGTCACAAATTGCTTGGGTAAGTCTCCCCCATCCCTGCCTTTTTTTGCTTGCATGCACTCTGGTGTCCTACCCCCCCCCCCTTTCCTTGTATGCACACACCACACCCTTCCTCCCTCTTTGCTCATTTGCACACACTACGTCCCTTCCCCCCTGCACTTGCATGCACCCACCCACCCACCAGTGTCCTCCTTCCCCCTTCTCTCTGTCTCTCTCTCTCTCTGTCTCTCTCTGTCTCTCTCTCTGTGTGTGTCTCTCTCTGTGTGTCTCTCTCTCTGCCTCTTTCTCTCTCTCTCTCTCTCTCTCTCTCTCACACACACACACACACACACACACACACACACCAGCGTCTTCCTTTCCCAGACCTGCTCTTGCAAGCATGCCCCCATCAGCATTCACCTGGACTTCCCTACATTTTCAGCCACCAGCATTCTCCTTCTCTATTCTCACATGCACTCTGTGCCCTCCTTTTCCAGCCTTCCTGCTCTTGTGCCACACTGAAGCACTCCCTTCTTCAACTTGCATGCAGCTTGTACAGGGTGGATCTTCCCCGCCCCTGTGTGGCACTGTTGCTCTCATTACCTGTGGCTCCTGTTATTTCCTGCCTGCTTAATGACCCACACATCTTGAGATTATGACAGCAACTGGGACTGCCCGGATCATCATCACTAAATGATGTGGTCACATGACTTCACACGTTACGACCTCATTGCTTAACAATAGCAGTCCTGGTCCCAATAACTCAAAGACTACATGTAATTTGTCCTTATAGGAAGATTTACTGGAGGTCACATACTGGGTTATTGCATCCACTGGCTATTTGCTATGCAGTGAGTTGTGAATGAGATTCTTGATTCCACAGTCTCAGCTGTGGAATTTCCTTTTGCTTCAGATGCTGTTGACAGTTACCATCGTAAACCTTTGGTGACAGTTTAAGACCTCTTCATCAAATATTTGGGTAGACAGGTGCTGCTGTGCCTTCCCATCTGGTTCAGGATTATACTGCATTGTATTTAGGATTTCAGTTTTTAATAAATAATTAGAGCCATAGAGCTTAATTCTAATTATTCTAATTTATTGTAAAATATTTTTAAATGTTACCCATTTTGGATTTTTTCAAATAAAGAAATCAATCAATAAATATTGAATTAGTTTTAACTTTATGTTGAAGGTTTAAATTATTCATGTTCCATATATACAGTATTCACATATTGATTGGGTTAGGTCAGGAAGGCCTGTTTCCTATTCTTCTGGGCAGAGGAATGTAAATATGTGTGTGGGCCTAGGCTTCCAGCTGCCTAGTGCAGACGGTATATTAAGTTCTAGTGATACATGATCAGTCCCTATAATTTGGAGAATTTGGGTATCAGACCTTTGTTCACACTTGGCTCTTTAGTGCCTTCTGCTGATGTCAGTCCTGTGTGTCCATATCAGCGCCAAATAAAATTCTGCAGGGATCTTCAGGTTGCAAACATACTTCTAGGTTGCACATATTGGATATGTGTTCCTGTGAACCACTTTTTGGCCATCTATGGATTAGATCACCTTCCTGTCTCTTCAGGACTCAACAGTTCCTTGAATCGTTGTTATACGATGATGCATTTGTTTTGCCTAAAAGTGTCAAGATTTCTTAGTCTGGGTTAAAAAGAAAGTGAAATAATTTCTTGATTTTGCAGAATATTTTTTCCTTCTTTCAAGGTGACTGCTTTCTTCATTTTAATTATTTTATAATAAAAATCCATTTGTATATTTTTCAGCGCCAAGCAAAATACACAGAAAATAAACTGAAGGCTATTAAGGCAAGAAATGAATATCTGTTGGCTCTGGAAGCCACCAATGCATCTGTATTCAAGTATTATATCCATGACCTGTCAGACCTCATTGATGTAAGTGTACTTTGGTGGTGTATTTCCAGAATGTTTCTGCTTTAAGCCTCATTATGTTGTTCTCCTCAGTTAATTTCTTCAGTGGCAGAAGTCCATATGGAGATTTTATCTTTTATCTGTGTTCCATCTGTGTTTCATTTAATTATTGAAGGACAACAGCATTTAAACACAAGCACTAATTAAATAGCCAAACCAAATTCTGCAATTGTCAGGTATTTCCATTATTTTAACATTATTTTTGGAGTGTGCACACTCCTCAACTTTGGGAACAATCTTAATTTGCATGCATCAGTGGGATGTACTATAAAATAGCCATGTCTTCATCTCATAGGTTTTTTTTATAAATACGTTATGTTTTCTTCTGATTTTGTGTATTGACTTACTGCTTGAATGATTTCCAGGAATTACAACAGAATGCGTAAAATGGTTTGCAATTCATCTTAAATGTCTGAAAGATTTAAACAACCTCATTTATCCAAATGATGTTGAAACCAACTCAATTTGTTGAGATGAATGGTGAATTTTCTTAAGGTATATAGGAATGCATGAAGTTTACACAAAGAATATATCAACATTTCTCCTTATTCAATGTATCTACAGCTGGTCTTTCTTCTAGGAACACATGCTGGCATATTTAACATGCCTTACTGTGTTTTTCACTATAGCAGTCAGTCCTTGGGCTGAGAAACAGAAAATGTTCATAAGTGTAACTTGTCTTTTCAGTCCCAATTCAACACATTAAGGAAGATATGTGAAATAAATGTTCAAACAAGCAAATAATTGGCCTCCTCCTTCAGTACAGTGCCCATAGAAGGCTAGTAGTAGGGACAGACACGTCCGTATTTCTAGTTTTGTCAGGCTAGCATTTATTGAATTTAAGTCTGGGTTGGGCTAAATCTATATTGATAATATCCATATGATTCATAAAAATTAAAATGTACTTCATATACAACTTTTTCTAATTTGCAAATTTTTATTAACTGGTTTATCCATTTTTGGACGTAGTATTTGAGTATTCCAGAATTCTGATCTGTGTTTTATTTTTGCATCGGTCCCCAAAAATATAAATTAGAATGCTTTACTTTAAACCATCTATATGGTAAAAGAAAGAAGAAAATAATGCAAGATTAATTATAAAGAACAGTCAAAACAGAAAAAGGAGGAATCTCTTTGTCAGGGAATTGTGCAACCAGTATCCAAATGGACTCAGAGATACTGACAAGAACTTGTAGTTTTATATAAATAAATATATTTACAGTAAATAAGAGAGGCAAATCAGGAGCATAGTCAGGTAAATCAGCACAGCAGCAACATCGTCAGGTAAATCAACAGAGAGCATACAGGACACACAGGGCAAAAAGGCGGGAATCAAGGATACTCCCCCTTTTTACTCAAAGCAACCAATCACAGCTTAGATTGCCTCATGCAAGGAGCCATCTCTCCAAGCAATCAGCTATAACTGTGTGTTCTAACTCTATACACAACCCTCACTGTTCCGGTTATAAATTTAAATATCTTGACAGTCTTATAGGCAGTAAACTTCATTTACTGAATTTGTGTCTTTAGATTCATCAATGTACTTTTACACAATAAACGTGCAACCTGTCAAAGTGTGGACAAACGTATTTTTTAAGCTGAACTTTGGAATTTTGGATATTTTCTTATATTACCAGCTTTGTATTTCAAGATTGTTTTAGTGGATGAAGGGTTAATTTGTCATGTTGAGAATTTAATTTGTTTGAATTCTTATTTTTTTTAAAAAAATCTTTGGAAAAAGCATGCATCAAGTATTTATATAACCAAGAAAGATGAGTGAGACTGATATACTTGTACATGTAATTTAAGGGATATTTTAAAAGGCAAAAAAATAAGGAAGGAGTGCTGAGCTGGAAAACCAAGATGAATTAATTTTCTTCTTCTGATTTCCAGTGGGGATTATAAATTATAATTTCATGTTCATGAATGGAAATATAAAAATAGAGTCATCTATTCTGTTCCCATCTACTCCCACACAGATCACTCAATCTGGTTTTATAGAGAGGAATGCAATGGTGGGAAACTATTCTATGAAAGAGAAACCTGCACCTGAGAAAGCTACATTCATAAGGCTCCAACTCTGACAGAGTAAACCATATATTAATACAGATGAATATTAGTCATTTTGAAATTTCTGGTGACTTCCCTCATTGGCAAGACTCTCACGATTTCTCTTCCATGATCTGTGAAAAACACGGAATGTTAATTTGGTTGCAAAGCTGAAACTACTGAATATTTATGAATTAAAATAGCCTTGACATGTGCAGATTCTCAATCAACCATTTTTTGTTTTTTTTGTTTTAATCCCTATTTAGTTTTTATGCTTCTTGACTAAATTTATTGTTCTTTCATTGCCTGCTTCCAGTAAAACCAACAATTGCTGCTTTACAAGCAGACTCTCCACACCTGCCCCAGACTTTTGGCACTGTACCCAGTCATGTCACAGTGAGCAGGTTATTGCAGGACTCAGTTTAACTACATACATTTATGCTTCTCTCCTGTCTTTCTGATTCCTCTCTCTGGCATGTGTTCATTTCATTCATGGCATTTCTGTTCCACCATTTATGTGCAATACTTGTCTAGTAGGGCAGATGTAAGCTTGTGACTTCTGTTAAACAAATGGATACTTGTCCATTCAGAAGATTTCCTTCCTTCCTTCCTTCCTTCCTTCCTTCCTTCCTTCCTTCCTTCCTTCCTTCCTTCCTTCCTTCCTTCCTTCCTTCCTTTCCTCTCACCAGCTGAAACCATTGTTCATCTTCTACTGATATATAGTTTTTTTTTCTCATCAAGTGATGGCAGGAGTTTATTTTCATATGATTTGGCTTTGGCAGATTTGTTGTTATTATTATGTATTCTACATATATTATTATGTATTCTACATATAATAAATGTAGAAAATACTTTAGATTTCTGTTTTGGATGTTGTGGTAAGTATCTGTTTCTTTATCAGCAGCTACTTGATTACATATCTTATTTAACAAGTTTATGCTCTTTCTTTTACATGCTCCTACATTGGCATCAGAGCATCCTATAATAGGCATCTTTCTCTGGAAGCAGACAGAAGAATATTTGTGTTTCGTCCATAGTGGGAAAAGCATTTTTGAATTGCAGGACTGATTTCTTCAAGAGAGGCTTTGTAGTCTCCTCTTTTGAAGTACCTTAAAGCCCTTTTTTGCAGAAGTGTATTTATTATTTATAATAATAATGATAAAGTTGGAAGGGACCTTGGAAGTCATCTAGTCCAACCCCCTGCTCAGGCAGGAAACCCTATACCATTTTGGACAAATTGCTGTCCAGTTTCTTCTTTAAAACTTCCAGTGTTGGAGCATTCACTGCTTTTGGAGGCAGGTTGTTCCATTGGTTAATTA